CATATTGCGGATGTGATATAAGGCACTGTTTGTGATTGTTTTCAATGGAAGTCAGCATGAAATCAAAATGGGCATTTCTTATTTTTTTAATGAAATATTGCAGTGTTTATTACAAATGATTCATCTATGCACATCAATATTTATTTTTTTTATTAATGAGCCCTTGAAATCTTTAATCAAAATAACTTCCTCTCCCTTTTGCAGTGCCATCTCTTCTCTGACGACATGTTTACTGGAGTGAGGGCAGGACAACGTGTCACTCACATGACAATAGCAAAACCACAATCAACTCCATACTTTATACTGTGACAAGATATACAGTATGTCACAGTAGGGAAGAATGTTTCATGCCCACTTTAATACAACTTTCAAAATACCTAAATTCTTTGTTAATTAAGCTTTACAATTATAGGTAAACATATAATAATAATGACCCAAAGTCATTACCATTTGGTGAATTTCACCAAGCCAAGATATGTCATTTTGCTGACGTGAGTCATGCAGAATCACAGGTTTTTGCTTAAGGGTGGTGGTTAATTACGAAAGTTGTACAAAATATTATTCTATCAACACAACACGAATGAAGATTTTTAGCATTTAATGAGATTTGTGTTATATATCAATTTTAATATCAGCCTTTTGAGAAAACAAAACATGTTAGGGGATCTCAAAATCTGCTTCCAAACACGGAGATAAGATGCAGTTAGCCTTGCGTTGCGTCTAATGCTGAAGGCTAAAATTCATTTCTTTCTATAAGCTACAGATGTAGAAGACTAAATTGATAGTGACAGTAAAGGTGATTATAATGCATGTTCTCACTTTGGTTCATAATTCAAAATTGGCAGATATAATTGGGTCTGAATGATTACAGTGAAAACTTAAGTAAAGTTTTAGAAGATATAATAATCATTCTTTTTTATTAAGTGTTGGATTTACCCATACATCTCAAATAGTGTTATCAAAAAGTAACTTCGGTTGTTTTCCATACATTAAAATGCAGGGCGATGATTGGCAGTCGAGATCAGGTGCAATTTTGCTTGGTTCATTATTCAATTTATAGTATAATTGGATTTGAACCCGACTCCAATGCATTCGATAAAATTACACCACTAGACTACCATGACCATGGTAAACAGAAAAATATATAGATGGTACCTGCAGCGATTGCACCAATCAAAGGTCCCAAAATAAGCTGAAGGGGATAGTTCCATGCTCCAATAATCAAAACGACACCTAATGGCTCCCTGCGCACAAAACAGTCATCCAGCTTTGTTGCCTTAAACACAAATGAAATAGGGAGAGGCAACACATTAAAGTATTTTCAGGGAGATCAACTTCACTTCTGCATTGACTAGGCTTTAGATGGTTTCCATTGAACAATATTTGTTGGAGCATTTTAATATTTAGTAAGTGTTATATAGCTCAAATATCAGTGTACGTGAAATTGTCTTATTATCTTACCAAGTTTGTGCCCACATAAGAGTCCTGCATCCAGGTTTGGAGGTTGCTGATGGTGTAGCAAAGATCATTCACCACTATATCAATCTCTGACAGCACTGCCTCAAACTTGGGCTGCAGAGCAGACAAGATTAATGCATCATTTATGTGTCGAATTTAAAAGTACTTGCGTGTGAACCAGTGCATTTTTATACCTTAGCCAGGTCTTTATGCATTGCCTCCAAAATGAGTGTTTCATTGTCTTCAAAAAGTGACATCATGGCCTCCAGTTGAGTCAAACGGAACTGGATGGGACGGGTCACACCTGAGCGGAAAGCACCCCGCAGCCTCTCCAGCACCTGTTTCTGGCTCTCCATAGTGAGAACACCTGTGCTGGAAATGGGGAACAGAGGAGGTCACAATTTGTATGTAGCCTACACAATATTTAAAATGTGAAACTTTCCAGATAAAGAGCAACACATGTCTTGGATCTGTACATGCAGTGCTCTCAGTGGGTTTCTCCATGGGATGATGTAAGGGGCTCTAAAACCAAATATTCCATATAGCCATATTTGTATTTTTTTCCCTACTTAAAACACTAATCATATAAATGTGTTATTTCCCTACAACCTGACACAAATATAAAGCTGCAATAGCAGCTGTTTACAAATCATTACAGAGCAATCACAAACGATCGTGATTAGTCCATCCTGACCAGCACAGAGAAAAGTAACAGGAAGTAAAACCGTTGACGTCAAGTGGTTGTCTGTTTGGACAATAACGATACTGAGATACCTCAAACTAAAATACTTAGTGGGCATTTAAAATAGGCGAATTATTATTTTGACATACGTGCCTCACAAACGTCAAACAACTTCCGGGCCGCGAAGCCTCGCCCATTTCGTTTAATTTAGATTATTCCACGCGCTTTTATTTTCTAACGTTACAGTTATCTCCAGATTATTTCGCTGGTAGCTACCTCACATATAGAAGGGACTGTTTTGTAATCAAAATCCTACAACACAACACAATAGGAGAGCAGACAGCTCGGTCTCGTAGCTTAATAATAATTTGTCAGCTCTGCACATATGTTTACATATCGCTAATCTTACTTTTTGCTCATTACCAAAGCCACAACAATGCAATAGGCTAAATAGCCTCAAACAGAAAATAGAGAAGAGCTTTAAATATCAACATGCTACAAAACATGTAAATCTACATGTAAATCGGAAACACTTTACAAGATCGTCCAAGTGTGACAATTAAATAGCCTATGATGAATCGTATAAACTTACCTTTCTCAGAAAATAACTCCTTTTACTGGTACAACCCAGTGTTTTCACCAACACGTGAAGACTATATCCGGGTGTTCGCGTTTCATTCGTAAATTCAAGTTTGTCGAGTTTGGCATATTAGTCAGATACTGCAGCCCGAAAAACCTGCTGTTTAGCCTTAACTTTGTATTCATACTAACACTATTCATTCTAACACTCCACACACACAGTAGCTATAGCTGCGATTGTCGCGTGCGTGGAAGATCAACAAAATGCAGCAGAACGAGAAGTGCGCAACACACTGGGCAAACTTTTGGACGCATTTCTAATATAAAAAGAGAGTGGAACTCATTTAAAACTGAACTAAATTTAACATTACAGTTTAACAGAAAAAAGGAAAAATCAAATTTTCCCCCAAGGATGATTGTTCATATTTATATGAAGACGGCAAATTTAATCTTGCACTGACTGTTGAGCTATTTTTGATCACTAATATGTGAATCTATGATCTATGTGAAGTAATGAATAGTAGGCCTATTACATTTGCACATAATGAACATATAAGCATATTAGACTTATTTTGCTAAGATTAAATCAAATGTAACAATAAGGTAGCCAATTCATTGCTTGTGGGAATGTGATCAGAATTCTTGAAATAAAGTGAATAATGTGACCACCACTATCCTCTATAAATGATCTGGAAATATCATGGATAATCATGGCTAATATTTCAAATCATAAAATATTAAAAAAAGATATTCAGGATGCCTTTTAATGTAGGCTAAGTATATTTTTATTTTGTTTTTGTTTGTTTTAAGTCTGTACAAGCTAAATGGCTGTTAAAAACATTCAATTTAAGGAGATACATTTTAAAGTGTAAGCCCTTTTTTATGATTTTTAATGATCATTTTATAAAACCATTTGACCAGTGTTGGATAATTCAGACCCTGCATGCTATCGAAATTAATGGTGATTTTACTTCTTGTATTTCTGTTTTTTTTTTTTTTTTGTGTTGTTTTTTAAAAAACTATTTTATTTAATGTTTTTTTAATTATACATTTTTATAAGTTTAATGGTATTTTACCCCCCCCCCCCCACACACACACACACACACACACACACACACACATATAAATAGCATGTTTTAAAAAAAGAGCTAATGCCCAGGTGCATGCACAGCTGTTGATGTTTTGATTAACAAAATGAGTCGGTTTAACGGTTGAAAGGTTCAGTAGTTTTAAGGGTGTTTCAGTGAGCTGTATTAAGCTTTGGCCATATATTCTCATGGGTATGGTTGGGTATGGTTTCGGGAATTGCCCCAGATAATTTGAATTTTGACTCTTTCGAGTGGGCTGAAACGTGTTTCTTTCTTTTTGCAGTATCATATGGTTGTGTTTGTGCAATTTTCATGATTTGATATACCTTCTCTCTCAGGATAAATTACACATTAAAAATGTTTTAATATTATGATATATTAAATAGCTGTAGCTAATGCTTATCGTTTTATACTTTAATAGTTTTGAAAGTTAGTCAGTTGAAAATCTAAATTCCTATACACCACATCTACCACCTTTTGGACATTTAAAGGCCAGAAAGATTTAATCTTTTGAAATTATATTTGTAATGTTAATCTACATAATTTAGCTTAAACTACCTGAAATTGACATTTAGTCTGTGAATGGTTTGACATAAATGGAAAACTCCTTGTTACTTTTGATTGAAGGTCATAGGGTGGATGAAGCTGTTTTCTCACTAAAGGCCAAATATATTTTTTGGTTCCTTTCTTTCTTATTTTATCTAAGAGGGGTGCTGATGGCGCAGTGAATAAGACACATGCCTTTGGTTTGAGAGACTCGTGTTCGAGTCCACTGTGAGACACCAATGTGTCCCTGAGGAAGACACTTTACACCTAGTTGCTCCAGAAGCGTTCAACCTCTTACATAGCAATTCCAAGTCGCTTTGGATAAAAGCATCAGCTAAATGAATAAATGTAAATCTACAATAAATTGTCATCAATTTAATTGCAGTAGAATCCAAATAAAGTCAACAAGAAAAGGGACTCACACAATCACATAATGTTTTTTTAAACACCTTCGCAGACATCAACATCTTGATATATTTTTATGTTTTTTTTTTCTTCCACTGGATAAAGTTCAGTTTACAAACATTCTAATATTAGGTTTGTACATTTAAGTACATGGAAACATGTACTTACATGGAAATTTAATCAATGTTAAGTTGCCCTTCAAACATTGTATTCTGATTATCATCTTTGTAACCATGGCTAATGGTCATCTCAGTGATCTTCAATCATTTCCTCTTTATGCAAATTCTAAATCCATTATGATACAAGTATTTATATGCTGCTGACTGAGTTGAGTAATGCTGTGTCTCATCAAATAGAGATGAAGATGAAGAATATACTCCTAATTCTAATTTTGTTCAACCTAAACTGTGAGTAATTGATATATATACATACAAACCTAAACTGTGAGTAATTGATATATATATATATATATATATATATATATATATATATTTATTGTTATGTTAATATATATTGATATTGAAAATCAAATACTACTTTCCCTTATAGGCGTGCAATGTCAAAAAATGGAGTCCATTGAAAGCACGGTTCAGAAAAAGCCTGGAGAAACTCTGACTCTGTCCTGTAGAGGATCTGGGTTCAGCTTTGACTGCTGTGCCATGCACTGGATCAGACAACAAGCTGGAAAACCTCTTGTGTGGATGGGCCTGGGCTACAGTTCGGGAAGTGGATACAAGGCGGAATCCTTTAAGGAAAGACTTGAAATCAGCAGAGATGATTCGAAAAGTATGATGTATCTGAAACTGACCGGACTGACAGAAGAGGACTCAGCTGTGTATTTCTGTGCAAGAGAAGCACAGTGACACAAACATGTGAAAATGAAACACAAAACTGGTTCAGAAAGATGATACACTTCACACTTGCAGTTCTCAATTTTGTCAGTAGGTTGCAGTGAAATACAAGAAGTCAAGTCGTCCATTACATTGATGTGTAGTGGACACAACACTGTCCACTACAGTGACTCACAGAATGCTTCTTTTTTAACTTCTAAAAACTTTATTAGGCACTCTATCAACAATCAAGATACACTGCTCATGGTTCCTCTTCACTGGAAAAATATCACAAACACTATTATTTTATTATTTTTTCTCCTTTAAGTGCACTTAAGCTTATATATATATATATATATATATATATATATACAACGCATTCTCACCCCAAGGCGTCACCTTTGACCATGCTTCAATATTTGACGTTTTAGGCGCCCTTTAGCGTCACTTACATGACGCGATCCTACGGCGTCACCTAACTGACGCTAAAGGAAAGCGTCAGTTAGCGGACACGGTTAGGTTTAGGTGTGGGGTGGGGGTAGGGTACACGCGATCCTAGGGCGTCATCTAACTGACGCTAAAGGGCGCCTAAAGCGTCAGATATTGAAGCATGTCCAAATGCTTCCCAAGGCGTCAGTTAAGTGAGGCCTTGGGGGTGAGAATGGGCTGTCAGTCACGATTGTACCTGTCAGGATTGTGACCCTCCCAATGCAAATCTAAAGAATCCAGTATGTTTGCTAGTATTTATGTGCTTCTGATTGGATCTGGAGCGTTACATCACCACTTTCAAGATGAAGACTGTACTCTGCTTACTGCTGCTCTCATTCAGCGTATACCGTGAGTTTTCTCATGAGACACATTTCTATTATCAGCTCTAATACATTTATATTTCAAAAGAAATCAGTCTTTTCAATCTTCCTTTTAGGAATAAAATGTCAAAAAATGGAGTCCATTGAAAGCACGCTTCAGAAAAGGCCTGGAGAAACTCTGACTCTGTCCTGTAGAGGATCTGGGTTCAGCTTTGACTGCTGTGACATGCACTGGATCAGACAACAAGCTGGAAAACCTCTTGTGTGGATTGGACGTGTTTATAGTGGTGGCAGCGGACATGACTATGCAGAATCCTTCAATAGACGAACTGAAATCACTAGAGATAATTCAAAGAATATGGTCTATCTGAAACTGTCGGGCCTGACAACAGAAGACTCAGCCACATATTATTGTGCAAAACAAACACAGTGACACAAAGTTATTGCACCGCCTAACAAAAAAAAACAACACTTTGAGTGTTTCATCTTTTGTGGAGTTCAACAGATGGCAGCAGAGAATAGAAAATCCTGAAAATACAGACTAATGAGAAGATATACCATCACTGAAACTGTCACATTATTATAGTCTATTAGATTACGGTTACATTAACAGTGAATACACTATGCTCAAACATTACATAGTACAAACATCTGACTCCTTTACCACAACACATATTTTTTGATGTAGATTTGTGCACGGCTATACATTTTACAGTGACAAACTAAAAAGTATGTTTCATGTAACCAGAGACTCTTCCAGGAGTATATAAGTGAAAGTGAGTATAAAAGGGCAGAATATAATAATGAATATCAGCATCTTACTGTGCATGAGAGCGAATACAGTAATGAACTACAGGCACTTCAAAACATCTTCAATAAAAAAATCCTCCTCTTACATAACAATAAAAAAAAATGCATATTAATCATATCCTAATTCAGCTTGGTCTCATTGTTAATACGTATTTTATGTTATTTGCAACGTACCTTTTAGTAGGCCTACATTTGGATGCTGAAACGTATAATATGGACATATCTGCAACATTTAAACGTAACATTATTATGTTTTTACAGCTAAAAAAGGTTAACTATTTACGTATGTTCTATATCGTAAAGATATCTCAGCCTGGTCTCATTGTTAATACGTAGGTATTTGCCCTATAATTCAAGGACACCCCCCCATTCCCCCCATTCAAGTTTGCTTCATTTTTACAGGTAAAAGCGAGATCTTTAGACTGATGAAGATCCAACTGCTATTGTTGCTTTCCAACATTCCAATATAAGTCATATTAACCCCTGAAAAAGAATAAAAGTAGATGGAAAATTATTTAAAATGTCCAGTAGAGAAAAAATCTTGATAAAACAAGATTGATGTCATTAGATTCTCGAAACGAAAGCAATAAATTATGTGAACATAACGTATGTTTTAGCATGCAGAGTCGGTTGTTAGTTGCTCTGTATGTTTATGTAAATCATCCGTTGCATATATTTAAACACCAGGCATGAGTCAGTTTATACATTCATCTGATCACTAGAGGGAGGGAAGAACCGCTTCAGTCCATTCAAACTGTGAAACACCATGATCTCTTCATCTTTAGTGTTTCTGGCTGTAGTTTCCTGTAAGTTTAATCTACTTTTCTGTGTGATACATAATTTTGCTGTAAAAAAGCTTGTTGTTAACAGCCTTTAAACTTCTTGGTATTTTACTAACAGGTATTATTTCATTTGATACAGGTATAGATTCATATGAACTCACTCAGCCTGAGTCTCTGACTGTCCGTCCTGATGCCACTCTCACTATCAGCTGTAAAGTCTCCTATTCAGTTACTAGCTATGCTACAGCCTGGATTCGTCAGCCTGCAGGAAAAGCTCTGGAATGGATTGGGTATATCAGCTCTGGTGGAAGCTTATACTACAAGGATTCCCTGAAAAGCCAGTTCAGCATCACCAGAGACACCTCCAGTAACACAATAACACTGCAGGGAAAGAATATGAAAGCTCAAGACACAGCTGTGTATTATTGTGCCAGACAATCACAGTGACAGACGCCAACAGCCTCCCTGTACAAAAATCATCATATTCACATTATGGTATTCATCATTTTGTCCTCAAAAGTTTACAAGCTATATTCATACAATGTTCATCCTTCACAGCTGCTATTCATTTGATGACATTAAAATACACCAAATCATTTGTAATAATTACCCAATAAATAATTTGTAAACCATCATTAACTGAAACTAATACAGCATTATTTGTATCAACAAAAAGTCAATATTTCAGGCCATGACCCCATCAGCTCTTGCATCACTTTTCTCTCATCGCCTGTTGGTCAGTAACGTTCTGTTTTGAGCTTGTTCTGACCCAGTGTTACTGTTGCCCTAGAAGAATTAAGGATTGGAGTTTTTAGCCACTGTTTGAGCAGCACTTAGAGTCTCATCCACAGATCTGTGTCTGCCAATGAACTGAAGTGCTTATTCTCTTTCTGTGTGCATAGAGTAGAAGCATAATACTTATTATGTAAGAAAGATTAAATTAAAAATGGGTATTCAGGTCAAAACAACTCTAAATGATTTTACTGATATTCTACAAATGTTTTTTGAAAATTGTATCTTTGATGTCATTAAACTAAAGGAAAAGCTAATATGTAAAACAATAATAGCTAATACAAATGTATATGTAAATGTTTTGTTTCTTATTCAACCAGTGGACATGAGTCGGTTCATCAGATCCCTGGAGGAAGGGAAGAACATCTCCTTTTCATTCAATCTGTCCTGAAAACGTCAACATGTTCTCTGCAGTTTTAGTTTTGCTTCTGGCAAGTGTAAACTGTAAGTTTTTTTTTTAACAAACAACTTTCTTGCCGATTTAGATGAAGCTTGATAATAATCATTTTGTATGATTATTATGTTCCTCAACAGGTATAGATTCATATGAACTCACTCAGCCTGAGTCTCTGACTGTCCGTCCTGATGCCACTCTCACTATCAGCTGTAAAGTCTCCTATTCAGTTACTAGCTATGCTACAGCCTGGATTCGTCAGCCTGCAGGAAAAGCTCTGGAATGGATTGGAATAATCTGGAGTGGTGGAAGCTTATACTACAAGGATTCCCTGAAAAGCCAGTTCAGCATCACCAGAGACACCTCCAGTAACACAATAACACTGCAGGGAAAGAATATGAAAGCTCAAGACACAGCTGTGTATTATTGTGCCAAATATACACACTGACAGACACCACCAGCCTCCCTGTACAAAAATAACATTTAAATACAAAGGCATTTGATAAATTTAAAATTCAGTACAGCAATCCTCTCCTTGTAAAAACATAATAATATAATAATGATAAGCATATAATAATAATGAAGCATGTGAATTCTAAAAAAATCATCAACGGGAAAATATGAATACAACATTGTTTAACACACATTGACATGCACCTGTTCCCACATCAGATTACTAATTGTTGTTTATTTATTTATTTATTTATTTGTTTATTTGAAAAGGGACAATGTACACTAATCAACATTCACAACAAATGTAAGTGTACCCGAGTTAGCCACAGGCTAGTTTTCATCGGCAGTCCCCTTGCCAGATGTTACTAGGCATCCTAAGATAATAAATAATAACAATGCAATACAGTTCAATATACAATAAACAAAAAGTAAAAAGAATAAACTGTGTTAAAATCACAAATAATCAAATAAACATGAGATATAAAATATAATTAGATGTTAATAAACGATACAATTATTGTTGATGAATTGGACCCACATCAATGTTGACAGTGTTGATTTTCAATAAGCCATTTCTTAACATTAATCTTAAATGAGTAATAAGGTGTAGACTCTCTAATTAGTGGGGGTATTGAGTTCCATTCATGCGAAGCAGTAAATGAAAAGACAGCCTGACTGAATGCAGTTTTTTTAAGTGGGATTATACAGTCTCTCCTAGCTGCACCTCTTGTAACTCTGTTTGTATTTGATTTAAAGGTGATAAGGCCAAATAAAGGAGGAGGAGCTAAGCAGTGCATGATCTTATAAACTAAGCAGACATTTCTGTATTTTATTAGGTTATCCCAACTAAGCAATTTATACTTCTGTAAGATATGGCAATGGTGATAACGAAATGACTTTTTATCTAGAATTTTAAGTGATTGTTTGTATAATGACTTTAATGGTTTTAAGGCTGTAGCGTGTGCGTTGGACCAACTTATCAAACAGTAGTTTATGTGGGAGAGAATTAATGAGTGGAAGTATACCTTAGCTGCCTCAGTTGATAGGAGGGTCCTGATATACCTGAAATTCACCAAACTGAACTTTACTTTATTACAGACCCTCTTTATATGGGTTTTGAAGGTAAGGTTTGAGTCCAAGTGTAGTCCTAAGTACTTATATTCTGAGACAACTTTTAATCTATGTCCAGAAATAGAAATGTCTTGTTCTGCATCTATGTGGGAACCTTTGGAAAAAAACATACAAACTGTTTTTGAAACATTCAGTTGCAAACAACATTGGTTAAGCCAAGATGTGACCTTCACTAATACATCTGTTAGCTTGATTGCAACCTCTGTAGCAGTTTTACCATGAGTAAAAATAACTGTATCATCGGCGTACATTAAAATGTCACAATTTTCACATGCAGAGGGTAGATCATTAATGTATAAGCTAAAAAGGGTAGGACCAAGTATGGAGCCCTGCGGGACCCCAGTTGAAAGACATAGGGGGTTCGATTTATAGTTACCAATTTTAACATATTGAGATCGACATGAAAGATAAGATTTGATAAGATTGACCAACTCAGGTGAGAAATTGAAATTAAGTAATTTATACAATAGAATGTCATGATTAACTGTGTCAAATGCTTTCTTTAAGTCAAGAAACACGGCCCCCACAACCCCGCCCTTATCCAATGAGACCTTAACTTTCTCTACGAAGTGACAAGTAGCTGTTTCTGTCGAGTAATTAGCCCTAAATCCAAATTGCATAGAGTGTAGTTGAAAAGAGCTATTGTTAAGATAGTCGATAATTTGTTTGTTAATCAGTTTTTCTGATATTTTCGATACTATAGGTACAATACTGATGGGCCTGTAGTTGGAAGTCAGCAAAGGATCACCGCCTTTGAATATAGGGGCCACAACAGCAGGCTTCCATGAATTAGGAAACCTTCCCTGAGCCAGTGAAATGTTAATTATGTGTGTTAATGGGGTAACTATAGAAGAATTTATCTCTTTCAACATAAGTGAATCCATCCCATACACATCCTTAGCCCTAGAGGATTTGAGAGATGTGACTGTTTTTACAACCTCATTCTCAGATACCGGCCTTAATGTTAATGCTGGCTCTCTAATATTAACTGGAAGTGCATCATTTTGTTGTACTGTAAAACATTGGGCAATAGTATCTACTGACTCAACAAAGTATTGGTTAAAGGCCTTTGCCACATCAGTTGGATTCTTCAATATTGTGTCATTCACTTTTAGTACAATTGGCTTAGTTATACTAATGTTTTGACCAGTTAATTTCTGAATCTGACTCCATATGGCTTTTGAGTTACCATTAGAATTTTCAGCAATTATAATGAAAAAGTCCGCCTTTGCTTTCCTCAATTCTCTGGTTACAGTATTTCTTAGCTTAACGAATTTAAACCTATCAGTTGACATCTTTGAATTTGTCGATATTTTTAAAGCATTGTCCCGCTCCTTCATTAATTTTAGAATTTTCTCGTTCATCCAGGGAAGACTCTGTTTCTTGTTTTTACATTTAATTCTAATTGAAAATTCATGAATTGTTGATTGTAATTTTTCTGTTAAAATTTGACTGCTGATTTCTAAATCATTTTCAAGAAGTATCTCATCCCATTTTATGTTATTAATGGCCACCTTAAATGCCTCATGCTTATTTTTCGGGATGCCAAAGAATTCTTTATTGTTTGATTGTCTTTTCTGTTGATTCAGTTCAATTCAAGCAGCATGAATATATCATGTTATCTAGTTGACACTAAACAGCATGAGCGCATGTGTGGATGTGACACAATTAACAAACAAAAAAATTAAATGAAGTAAATACATTTCTAATTTGTGCCTCATTTACAGAGAATTCTGTATTAGACATAACGGTGAATGGAAAGGATATTTTCACATTCACGTCATACTGTTCTTAAATAATTTTGCCCTTCAGTCACGATTGTACCTGTCAGGATTGTGACCCTCCCAATGCAAATCTAAAGAATCCAGTATGTTTGCTAGTATTTATGTGCTTCTGATTGGATCTGGAGCGTTACATCACCACTTTCAAGATGAAGACTGTACTCTGCTTACTGCTGCTCTCATTCAGCGTATACCGTGAGTTTTCTCATGAGACACATTTCTATTATCAGCTCTTATACATTTATTTTCAAAAGAAATCAGTCTTTTCATTCTTCCTTTTAGGAATAAAATGTCAAACAATGGAGTCCATTGAAAGCACGCTTCAGAAAAAGCCTGGAGAAACTCTGACTCTGTCCTGTAGAGGATCTGGGTTCAGCTTTGACTGCTGTAGCATGCACTGGATCAGACAACAAGCTGGAAAACCTCTTGTGTGGATTGGACGTGTTTATAGTCATGGCAATAGCCATGACTATGCAGAATCCTTCAAAAGACGAACTGAAATCAGTAGAGATAATTCAAAGAATATGGTCTATCTGAAACTGTCGGGCCTGACAACAGAAGACTCAGCCACATATTACTGTGCAAGAGAAACACGGTGACACAAAGTTATTGCAACGCTAAACAAAAAACACTTGGAGTGTTTCATCTCTTGTGGAGTTCAACAGATGGCAGCAGAGAATAGAAAATCCTGAACATACAGACTAATGAGAAGATATACCATCACTGAAACTGTCACATTATTATAGTCTATTAGATTACGGTTACATTTACAGTGACGCACACTAGCTCAAACATTACACAAAGGTATATCTGACTCCTTTACCACAACACATATTTTTTATATAGATTTGTGGTAGTGGCTACACATTTTACAGTGAAAAACTAAAAAGTATGTTTCATGTAACCAGAGACTCTTCCAGGAGTATATAAGTGAAAATGAGTATAAAAGGGCAGAATATAACAATGAATATCAGCATCTTACTGTGCATGAGAGCGAATACAGTAATAAACTACAGGCACTTCTGTTCTAAAACATCATATATATATATATATATATATATATATATCCTCCTGACATAACAATAAAAAATTGCATCCTAATTCAGCCTGGTCTCATTGTTAATGCGTAGGTATTTTACGTTATTTGCAAAGATAGAAAACACACTTTTTAGTACGTTTGGATAGATGCTGAAACATATAAAATGGACCTATCTGCAACATTTAAACGTAACATTATTATGTTTTTACAGCTACAAAACGTTAATATTTATGTATATTCTATATCATAAAGATATCTATATAATTCAGCCTGGTCTCATTGTTAATACGTAGGTACTGTTTGCCCTATTCAAGGAACCCCCCATTCCCCCCATTCAAGTTTGCTTCATTTTTTACAGGTAAAAGCGAGGTCTTTAAACTCTCTGATTCTCTGATGAAGATCCAACTGCCATTGTTGCTTTCCAATATTCCAATATAAGTCATATCAAAACCTGAAAAAGAATAAAAGTAGATGGAAAAATAATTTAAAATGTCCAGTAGAGAAAAGAAATCTTGATAAAACAAGATTGATGTCATAAAATTATCTAAAGAAAGCAATAAATTATATGAACGTAACAAATATTTTTTAGCATGCAGAGTTATTAGTTACCCTGTATGTAAATCATCAGTTGCATATATTTAAACACCGGCATGAGTCAGTTTATACATTCATCTGATCACTAGAGGGAGGGAAGAACCGCTTCAGTCCATTCAAACTGTGAAACACCATGATCTCTTCATCTTTAGTGTTTCTGGCTGTAGTTTCCTGTAAGTTTAATCTACTTTTCTGTGTGATATATCATCTTGTTGCAATAAAAAAAGGCTGTTGTTAATGCTCTTTAAACTTCATGCTATTTTACTAACAGGTATTATTTAATGTGATACAGGTATAGATTCATATGAACTCACTCAGCCTGAGTCTCTGACTGTCCGTCCTGATGCCACTCTCACTATCAGCTGTAAAGTCTCCTATTCAGTTACTAGTGGAAATACAGCCTGGATTCGTCAGCCTGCAGGAAAAGCTCTGGAATGGATTGGAGTGATCTATTATGATGGAAGCTTAGCCTACAAGGATTCCCTGAAAAGCCAGTTCAGCATCACCAGAGACACCTCCAGTAACACAATAACACTGCAGGGAAAGAATATGAAAGCTCAAGACACAGCTGTGTATTATTGTGCCAGAGAATCACAGTGACAGACGCCAACAGCCTCCCTGTACAAAAACTTCATACTATTGTACCAATTAGGGTATTCATCATGTTTTTCTTTAAAAGTTTTATAACAACAGATAACAGATTTACAGATTAAGTATTGTATCCTATGTTACAATAGGAAGTCAATAAAATCAACAATCTCTTTAGCTTACAGCCAGTCATATTGCCAAAGCCAAAGTCACATTGGCTTTGCTTACTTTGGCACATAGACATATACACTAGACCTCACCTTGGGGTTCTAAGCATGCGTTAAAACCGCCGCCATCTTGGAACAGGGGTCTTGTCATAGGAAGTAGCTAGGTAACGCTGCTATCTCTGCCTTTACTTTGAATTCATTGAAGGTGGCGGACTTTTGTGCAGCGTATGATGTTCACGGATGAAATCTGAACTAGAAAGAATGTTTAAAAAAAAAAAAAAAATCTTTCTGGAATCAATGATAAATACATGTCTGACCGTTGGAACAAACCAAAAAAACAAGAAAATCACATTCATGATGATTTATGGTGATTTTATTTCCATTAGACCTGTGTCTACTACATTGACGCTGATGCATTAAAGTGGAGGGGTTTCAAGGGGTTTCCCCGGTTTCAAGATGGCGGCTCCATTGACACATTCGTTCCAATGAACTGCCGTAGCCAAGGTGAGGCCTAGTGTATATGTCTATGACTTTGGCAGACACAAAGGAAAGTTTAAATGATTTTTATGGCTCTGCCTGTTGATCAATAAAGTTCTGTATTGATGGCTTGTTTTCACCGTGTAAGAGTCTTTAGCTGATGTTTCAACAGCGTAGATCTGGGGTGTTTTCCACAAAGCATGGCTATCTTAATGTCAAACATACAACGAATGAACTCTTTCTTAAATCAAACCTTGCTTACCCGAAGTATGCTGGTTCCAAAAACGCATCCCAGAGTAAGTTCATCCAACTTAGAGTATGTTCACAGTTAACAAACCTTGTCAACAGAGAAATTCTCAACAAAGAGAGAAACAGCCATATAAACACAGGAGGTGTTCCTCAATGTCAAGGATACTTCCTTGGCAGGACGGGTCCTTCCAAGTCATTTCCTTCAGAGGCTAGACGAGGCTCCTCTTTAGCATTCGGAGAACACGTAAATGGAACAGGCTATAGCAAGTGCATGTCATTGCGTCATTACATCAGTGAAAGCAAGGTCCGCTTTCGGCGCTGCAAAAAATGGTAGTGCTACTGGTTTGGTTGCTGTACCGCACTGTTTAAACACTTGACGGTCCTTATTTTGTCTTGTCATAGATGTTAAGTCATTATTATGAGAACGTTTCTCATTATTAAAAGATACTAATTCACAATTATGAGAAAGTTTCTCATTATTAAGAGATACTATTTATTCAGAGAAAATTTCCCAATATAATGAGAAACTAAGTCATAATTATGAGAAAGTTTCTCATTATTATGACTTGCAGAATTATATATTTTTTACTCAAATGTGGTGGAAATGAGCTTCCATAGATATGTGCAGAACTGTATGCAAATATTTTTCTCCTCCTCTTTGTTTTAGTATTAAGGGGAAAAGAAGCAGCTTACTCTCTCACTTCTAAAACCATGGTCTCCTCATCCTTCGTGTTGTTTCTGCTGCTAGCAGCCGTTTCTCGTAAGTCTTCATAGATTCTATAGAAATATTTAATAATAAAAATGTATTGTATGGTTATACTAAATGTTTCCACGTCTGTAACATGTCATGCCATGTTTGTTTTCTCAGGTGTCCACTGTATTGAACTGACCCAGACTGATTCTATGGTCTTAAGGCCTGGTCAGGGTTTGACACTGTCCTGTAAGATTTCTGGATATTCAGTGACTGACAGCCGCTACTGCAGTGGCTTCATACGACAGCCTGCAGGAAAAGCTCTGGAATGGGTTGGAATGATATGTGGTAGCGGTAACACATATTACAGTGATAAACTGAAAAGTAGATTTCAAGTTACCAGAGACTCTTCCAGCAGCACAGTGACTCTACAAGGACAGAATATGCAGGCTGAGGACACATCTGTGTATTTCTGTGCCAGACAGTCACAGTGACACAAACCACACGCAGCTCTGTTCAAAAACATCTTGAATGGAAAAAACAAGAGAAAATTCCTCTACAGTAGGGAGTCAGAATAACTTTTCAAAAGATTTTTAGATTTTGCTATGAATATAATTATTTTTTTTTATTTTATTTTTTGTATTGTACAAGTATGAAACATCAATAATTGCAACCCAACAAACGATTGAGAAAAGAGCTGCAGACCGTTCTGTGTCAACGCATTCTCACCCCAAGGCGTCACCTTTGACCATGCTTCAATATTTGACGTTTTAGGCGCCCTTTAGCGTCACTTACATGACGCGATCCTACGGCGTCATCTAACTGACGCTAAAGGAAAGCGTCAGTTCGAGGACGCGGTTAGGTTTAGGTGTGGGGTGGGGGTAGGGTACACGCGATCCTAGGGCGTCATCTAACTGACGCTAAAGGGCGCCTAAAGCGTCAGATATTGAAGCATGTCCAAATGCTTCCCAAGGCGTCAGTTAAGTGACGCCTTGGGGGTGAGAATGGGCTGTCTGTGTTGATGTAACCTAAGTTATACATAGGTTAAATTAGATTAAATAATATTTTGGATTAAATTATATTTTTGACTTAAATGCAACTAGTTTATTTGAAGCCAGATGAAAGATATCTTTCATGTTGAGACTTATAATGAACTGGTTATGACTCCTTTTTGTTGCTGTGTGCAGTAAAGTTATTAATCTTTAATTAGAATACTGCTGATATTACAAGGGCACTGTCTGTCTTTATGATGCTCAGCAGATCAGATATTGTAATGTAAATACACACACACACACACACACACACACACACACACACACACACACACACACACACACACACACACACACACACACACACACACACACACACACACAATTCATATACATACTTCATAGACATTCATATAAATACTTCCAAACATAAATATACAATATAGAAAAAAAAAAGAAAAAAAAGAAAAGAAAAGGGAATTACTGAAGTCTAGGAGCTTTAATTAAGTAAACAGAATTAGAGTAAACCAAGTTCAATTAAATCAGGTAAAGAAAAGTAATCATCTCAACATGGTTTTCAGTCACTCAGCAACAGTGTGTCATAGAGATTCTTTATGTAGATTCAAGCAGACAGTTCTAGAAAAATCATATCCAGAATGTAGGTTTCTGATGTAGGTTTAACAGAAACGTACAGTACTGCTGTTGTTGCGTAATTGATTGTAAAGCAGTGAGTTGTGCGCAAACACTTACGCAAAAAGAGTGCTGTGCAGTGGATTGTACCTACAATTTTGCAAAATTGCAAACTGAGTGCAAAGCAGTATTTGTGCTTTTAGTTTTGCAAACTCAGTGAGTGGTTTCGCTATAGCCTAGTATTAATACCGGTAGTTTTAGAAATTGTGCTATAAGTATCATGGGGATTTAAGCATTCAGAAAAAAAAACTGTAAATATTTGATATATTTACTTTATAAACAGAAATTCAAGGGGTTAATGGTTTCATGCCTCAAGACAAGTTCCACTTTTGTGTAAGCAATTTGATAAAAACTAATTATTTTTTGTCACTTTGGTGTTCAACTCCAAAAAATACAACAACATTAAAGAATAATAATAAAAAAAAATAATGTACTGTTTGTATTTTCTGCTAATGGACCAATAAATAATGACTAAAATCATCAAATCAATAGCCAAAAGGCTTGGACAGTGTGATGCCTCTTCATGTAACCCCAGTATTCTTGTTTGAGCATGTAAAGTGGATTAGTTACTCTGTATGTTTATGTAAATCATCAGTTGCATATATTTAAACACCAGGCATGAGTCAGTTTATACATTCATCTGATCACTAGAGGGAGGGAAGAACCGCTTCAGTCCATTCAAACTGTGAAACACCATGATCTCTTCATCTTTAGTGTTTCTGGCTGTAGTTTCCTGTAAGTTTAATCTACTTTTCTGTGTGATACATAATTTTGCTGTAAAAAAGCTTGTTGTTAACAGCCTTTAAACTTCTTGGTATTTTACTAACAGGTATTATTTCATTTGATACAGGTATAGATTCATATGAACTCACTCAGCCTGAGTCTCTGACTGTCCGTCCTGATGCCACTCTCACTATCAGCTGTAAAGTCTCCTATTCAGTTACTGGCTCTGCTACAGCCTGGATTCGTCAGCCGGCAGGAAAAGCTCTGGAATGGATTGGAATAATCTGGAGTGATGGAAGCTTAGACTACAAGGATTCCCTGAAAAGCCAGTTCAGCATCACCAGAGACACCTCCAGTAACACAATAACACTGCAGGGAAAGAATATGAAAGCTCAAGACACAGCTGTGTATTATTGTGCCAGACAATCACAGTGACAGACGCCAACAGTCTCCCTGTACAAAAACATCATCATCATCTTACAAATTAAGAATGTTATGAAGGTTTTCCACAACAGTCTGCTTTTCTCAGGAGCACATTAGTCATAATGACAAAAGTCATAATGACATTATAGACATTAATTTAGCTGGTAAAACAAAAATCCTATTGAAAAAACAAGCCTACATTGGTGTAAATGATTTATCAGCAAGTATTTGCACAAATGAAATTAAAAGCTCAGCAATGATCATCTTTTGCAGCACTTATTTTGATATTTGCTTAGTTCTTAACTACAAGTTCCTTACAATTACAAGTTATTTACAATTACAAAAGAAGTAGCAAATAACTTTTAAATAACCTTTGATTTAAGGTAGTAGCCAGAAGCAAAAAAATAAAAATAAAATGCATGAAAGTGTCATGATGAAACTGGCTGGGTATTGTGTGTTACATGGCTATAGTTAATGGTGTCAAGGGGATGTCAATCATTTTTCAATCATGAATCATTTTGTCAATCATTTTTCAATCATCAATCATGTCATTTTTGCCGTGCGCACCTTTCTCATCTCATGCAGACGCGTCGAGTTTAAACACATTCTCATCCCAAGACGTCATACAACTGATGCTTTTGACCATACGTCAACATCCGCCGTTTTAGGGTAACCCTTAAACGTCGGTCATATGACGATCCGGGGCGTCTTCCAACTGACGCTTTACCTTTAACGTCACTTAGGTGACGGGGTAGGTTTAGGTCTGGGGTAGGGTTATGATTAGAGAACGTCATCTAACCGACGATTGGGGTACCCTAAAACGGCGGATGTTGACGTATGGTCAAAAGCGTCAGTTGTATGACGTCTTGGGATGAGACCGTGTTAACTTTAACCAGCTCAGCCACAGTAACAGCTCATATTTAATCAGCTAAACTTTTACTACCCGGTAGTAGAAAAAAAAAAATATAGTATAGTATTAAAATACAATATTTTTATTTTATTTTTATTTAGCCTATAATAAAATAATATAACCCTTTTATTAACCCTGGGGGTTAATTTTTTTTTATGTTTCCCAAAACAGAAAACCCTGAATTCCCGGCAGTCGAATGGTGAATTGGCCGGAGTTTAATTTCTTCTTTATCAAACTATTAAATAGTGCGTGATACCTCCACCAGGGAATAATAAAGCAAAATAATCTACTTATAACTTACTTCCCCTAAAATTCTATATTCCCTTTTTTCCCAATATAATCTAACTAATAAATCAAGACAGTAATTCTGAATAAGGAGGAAAAAAAATAATAACAATGATTTATTTGACACTATTAAGACACCTTTTTTTCAGAAAAAATAAAATCAATCAATGAATAACAGCTGTGGTATCAAAGTGTAAAAATAAAAAAATGGATTCTGTGTTGTTCATAAACACTTTTTTTTTCCCTCAAACAATTAAGTATGCAACAACCTCAATAACCTCTGAGGATTCTAAATGATCACTAAAAAAAAAAAAATACACTCTCCCTTCTTATTTCAAGAGGGGAAAAAACTAGGCACCAAATGATTATTGAAAACTCACAATTTCTCCTTTGGATCAGTTTACACAATTCACCAAATGAACTCTGTCAGTAACACACAATAAATGAGTTTGATCACAGTATCTTACAGAAGGAAAATAAATAAATAAAATAAAACCCCACACACCCTCTTTTGGCTAGCCGTTGGGGCCCAATCGTTGGTGCACTTTCACGGGAATGGATTTAAGTTAACTCAGTACCAAGAGGATTTGTCAAGACGAATTCACTTACATTCCATCCAGGGAAAAGACGAAACAGTGCAGTGATCACTCACAGGTCGAACCACGAACAGAACAGTCACGCAGCCCGGCGCGGGATGAAAGTCCAGTTCAAACGCAACGACGAAGCAGCTTGCGATGAATCTCGTCCCCCACAGTTACAAGTCATTTGGAAGTTTTTCTTGTGACAACGATACAGCTGTCAATGATGCAGTTGTCCAATGCGAGTTTCTCCGCCACATCGCACTGTTGATGCACTAAACAGATGACGCAATCCAACGACAGAGTGGGTTGAAATTATACTAAATACAGTAAAATAAAAATAACACTATGCAAACAAAAATCGGGTGAAAGTTATATTTGTCACTTTAGGCCTGTACTCACACAAGTAACAAAGAATGACGTTACTTTCATAAAACCGAGGACATGTGAGTAGCTCTTCGCCATGTGTGATCTCCTTCTGTCGTCTCTAAAACGTAACTCAACGCAACTTACGTCCGTAAACTTTAAATAATCTCAATGCTGATTGGTCAACATTAATACACACTCAGTTCAACAGAACACCTTATTTGAGTAAAGAAAATCAGTTTACATAATACAGAAACAAAGAATGTTGGTACACTTTGTTACATTGCACTCAAAAATAATAAAAACAAATAATCAAATATATAAATTTTAATACTCTGCACTTTTCAAATTAAGGCATATTTTAAGGGGTCCCTACACATATATTGTATATTAAAATAATAAAATAATAATATATATATATATATATATATATATATATATATATATATATATAGTATAATATGTGTATACAGTGTATAAAACAAATAATAATGTTTAAAATATATTTATTTTCATGTGGATCTTCTCCCTCGCTGTTTTATGGGTTTGCTATGTGGGGAGAAATGTGCTGGTTACATTTGTGAGACAATCAGATGATTACTATTATTATCTTATATATTACTGTAAGACCACACCTGACTATGGCTTTGTAAACTTTATTCATGATGTGGTTTATAATGGACTGTGGTAAAGAGACAGTGACAATTCCACACTCTTGGCTTACTCTGGCTTTTCTTTGCTGTCTCAGACGACGATATGTTTGTCCCGTTTCGCTATATGTCGCAAAAAATCACACACTGCACCTTTAAGCACCAAATCATGAACTTCTCATCAGCTCTACTATGTTGACAGCAGCTGCATCATGTGACCCTTCACTGATGTTTTTTAAAGCACTTAATTAAAGTCTTGACATAAAACATGTTTTGAGGCACAACTAATAATAACACATTAATCCATTTTTAAGGTGGTGTTACTGTATGCGAGCTCACTCAACCTCTAACTTTGATTGCGAAACCTTATGAATCGTTTTCCATCTTTCCATTTTATAACCAAGCTATTGAATTGAAAAGTACTGGAATGACTGGGATATCTTTGCAGTGGTGGTAGCATTAAAAATAAATACTCCATAAAAAACAAGATCAGTTTCACGCAGAACACGTATATATATTTATATTAGGGCTGTCATACGATTAATCGCGGTTAATCGCATCCAAAATAAAAGTTTGTGTTTACATAATATATGTGGGTGCACTGAGTATATTTATCTTGTATATATATAAAAACACACACATGCATGTATTTAAGAAAAAAATATTATTTAAATATAAAATACTGATATTTATATATAATATAAATTATATATAAATCTATATACAGTATATACGTGAAAATATTTCTAAAATATATACAAGCATGTGTGTATATTTATATATATATAAAATAATTATACACAGTCCACCCACATATATTATGTAAACTCAAACTTTTATTTTGGATACGATTAATCGTGATTAATAGTTTGACATGCAGCCCTAATTTATATATTACACATTTTTCATAAACAAAGGTAACAAACAATGAAAGAACAGGGGAGGAGTCTATGCAAAACTGTGGTGCATATTTCTCTTAAGTTGCTTTGTAAAAGTGGAGTGTTTCTGTGTTCACTGACTGTATGTGGTTCCTGTAGAGGAGAATAATCAGCAATGACAACAATAATCAATTCAATTTTGCTATTTCTTTTTTTACATGGTCTGTAACTCATTCATAAATTATAGAAATTACGAATGCATATATAATTTAGCAAGTTTACATTTTGCTGTCTCTTAAGTTTTTGCTCTCTTCTCTCTCCCACAGATATCCATTGTCAGACCTTCACTCAGTCTCAGGCTGAGCTAAAAAGACCTGGTGAATCTTTTCGGCTGGTGTGTACCGCCTCTGGATTTACATTCAGCAGCTACTGGGCTGCTGTGGTGAGACAGGGTCACGGTAAAGGTCTGGAATGGGTTGCAACTATCAGCACATCCAGTTCTTATATCTACTATTCCCAGTCAGTCCAGGGAAGGTTCACAGTGTCCAGAGATGACTCCAGCAGTCAACTGTACCTACAGATGAACAGCCTCAAGACTGAAGACACTGCTGTGTATTACTGTGCTAGAGCGTCACTGTGAATGAGTTCAGGGTCAAGGCAATACAAAAACCACTTTCTTTCCTGTTGACTTTAAGATCCAGATGTACTGTTGCATTTCCAAGCAGTGGCGCTCTTGTCAAGCAGTCTTGATTAACTGTTTTGAGCATAACTAACTAAACATTTGTTTAAGCTTGATTAACCATTAACCTTAATTTCCACAGTAATGTTAATTGTGCATGCTTGATTTTTGTATCTGTAAAGTGCTAAAAATATGTGTTGTATTTCTGTGTCTGAGAGCAGATTTTATACTTACTGAACACAAGATGACTTAAAGAAATTTGTATTGCCGGTACAGTGACCAAATTTAAGGCATTCCGTGTATATTACAGGATACCATAAGTATAATGCAGAAAGGCCTTAGATATCGGCATAGAACAAGCTACATTTAGTAAAACAAATAAATGAGCTCTTAGCAATTACATTTTTAGTGAGACTAATAAAAACATGTAGCAATTTAAATAATAATATTATTGAAACAGCATAGCTATGAAGACTAGAGAGTGTCTAGTAAGTGTGACAATAAAAGTCACACTTACTGATACGTTCAGGGAGGGCCGGCCCGAGGCATCAGTGAATTAAGCGGCTGCTTGGGGCCCCTTGGCCACCAGCGGGCGCCCCAATCGAGTTAAAAAGTCGAAAAATATATTTTTTAGATGACTTAAACAAGTGACATAATTGAATAAATTAATATGAATGAATGAAGACAACAAAATTCAGATTTCATGATCAATTTACCACCCTACAACTGCTGCTGTGTCTGCCACCCTGGTAAGTCATGCGCACAATCTAGACAACTGCGCATAATCGCAGACACGCGGTAATGTTAAGCCATGTCACAAAAAAGGACATATCCATCTGGTGCCGAAAATAGAACGAAGAAAATGACAGTGGAGAAAAAAAGAGCAAGACAAAAGTATGTTTGCATGATGTTTTGTGCAACAATTGAACCATTCCTATCAAGTCGAAGCATGAATGCCGAGCCAAGTGCGCTGGTGAGATGTGAACGAGCCAGAAGTTGGCTCAGCATTCGTGATTCGAATGCTCGAGACTGTTTTCCAAAGATGGCTCCTGCCGGTTTTCGCGAAGTGGACTGTCTTTCAAAAATATCTTATTAAACGGTCTGTACACTTACAACGTTCTCAATGCTTTGGTTTGCATGTAGGGACCCTCATTATGCTACAGTGTTAGTGTTGGGCTATTTTGAACCTTGTTTGTGGTATTAACTAGCGATTTTTATTTACATTAGGCTACTCTATGCCCCATATACTAGCGTTATAAGCTAAACTTATAAGTTTTAGAGACAAAACTCTTTACATTCGATAATCATGAAAACAAATCTCAGAGAATGGTTGACTATGTACCAATGTGTAAGACCAAAGGTTCATTTTGCGCTGGAGTTCTCCTTTAACAATAAAGCACATGAGTGTGAATCACGCAATATCGCCTTTGATCTCATTGGTGTCTGCTATGCAAGACTTGAGAACGATGGCTCAATTGGATAAAAGGCTGATGTTTGTATATATTCAACTACTGTACACTGTTCTTTATTCACTTTTACATAAGAAACATAACTCAAAATCACATCTCACGTTTTAAATAGAACGTATTCTTGCTGCAGAAGGACATTGTTATAAATCCATATCAAGATGTGCACTATGTTCATGAAATGAACCCCAATGGCCACAAGATCTAGTTTTTGCTAATTCTGGGCTTCTATGCAAATGATCTGAGGTCTGTTACATATTTAAACTGCACTGTTGACTGGAGAACTCATCACTGGTTCAGCCTTGATATAAATCATGTTCACTTTGTATATGTTGCTGTTGCTGGCCACAGTGTCTGGTAAGTATATTTCCTATATATATATATATATATATATATATATAACAATTTTCTTGTAAATAAATACATGATCCTAATTATTTGTACTTTTTTTGTTTATCCACAGGTATTGACTCTCAGGTTGTGCTCACACAGTCTGAACAGTCAGTAGTTGTGGCTCCAGGTGGTTCCCACAAACTGACCTGTGCATGTAGTGGATTCACTCTTAGTAGCACTAACATGTATTGGATCCGTCAGGCACCTGGAAAAGGACTAGAATGGATTATTTACTATTATTCAGATTCTTCTAAGAGCTCAGCTCAGTCAGTCCAGGGCAGGTTCACAGCAACTAAGGACAGCTCTAATTTCTATCTGCACATGAATCAGCTGAAGACTGAAGACACTGCAGTGTATTACTGTGCAAGAAGCACTGTGGAAACACTAATACAGACAGCTGCTCAAAAACTCATGAGAAAGGTGGACATGGTTGAGTTACACTGAAAAAAGGCAAGAGCCTCTGAAGTGACAGAACTCCTGTCTGAAGTGTTTTGAATGTATTAAATACAAAAACATGTTAATATTAAAATGATTCCTCATTTCGAATCATATTTGCTTCTCAGTAAATTATGAGAGTCTGTTTCAGACAGAATGCATGTCTGTTTCCCACAGTATGTCTGAAATATCTGTTCAGTCTAGCCTACATTTTCTTATATTAATAATGGACTGGATTATTTTTTTTTTCTAATTACCTTTCTACCACTAAAACTTAATTATCTTTAATAATACAGTATGATACAGTATGATTTTTTAAATAACAAACCAAACATGCACCATTATTCACCTATAAATGATTCTTTGAATGTTTCTTGATAAGCAGCAAATCCAGCCTCCAAGGCAGATAAATGTGGACCAACCAGAACCAGCTGGTTCTAAAACTAGTTTGATACAGCATGCATACAGTTCAGCATAGCAGGCCCAGTGGCACACAACCTAATCCACAAGACAAAATAACATCTAAATTGATATAACACCACATTAAAAAAGTTTAAGAACACTGTAAAAAAAAAGAAAAGAAAAAAAGGTGCACAATACTGTATAAATATGAAGGGATTTCCCGTATTGTTTTACCTGTATTTTGAATTACACATTGCTTAAGGGTTAATGGACATTTCAGTAAAATTACTGGATAATGTCCTGGGAGAAAATTAGCAGTATATTTCATTGTATGCTTAAGTTGATTCTTAATTCTGTGTTATTTCCTGGCTGTCCTGCACATTCTTTGGTTATTAAGAATAAAAATTACAACCTTTGAACTGGACGATTTTTGTGTAAATCCAATTATTATTTTGTCGTTTGGACACTATGTAAACATCTGTTATGTGAATAAGCTTTACCAGGGCAGAACTAAATAACAATATAATTATAATTAAAAATTATGATCCCTCTTATTTTTTATGTATTTATTTTTTTCAGATTGTGTAAATGATGAAAAGATTTTCATTCAGAACACTGCAATAAACAGTTATAACTGTCTTCTTTTCCTTACTCAAGACACATGAAATGATTTAAAAAAATGTTAAATGCATTTATTATTCAAATTGCATAATAATAATAAAAAAAAAAATAAAAAAAAAGAATCATTCTTTCAGAACCTTCTTGAGACACACTCTCCTTTCCAATGAATGCCTCTATCAAAGCAATAAATAAAAATCCTTTCTGAGCTAAAAACTGGACTCTTGAAAGACATATTGGGTCAATGTCAAATATGTATCATTATCAAACACAAGTTAAGATTTTCCCCCTTATTTACTGTAAAAAACATTGAGATATTCAGATACTTAAACTTGCCTATAGGCTAGTATAAGTCTGCAAACCTGAAAAAGATGCAAATTATTTTGTGGGAAGGGTCAACATCTCCCAGTCTCTTGAAAGATTGTGTTATAAGCATGTGACCAGAGACTAAAACAGCTGCAGGGTAACCTATAACTGTTTTACTGCCTTTTAGTTTGACAGTGTTTCTGTTGTAATGGAGATGCTACTATACGGATTCCTACTGATGATTATCGCATGTGAGAAACTCCCATCTGTAGTAGATTATTATTTCATTGTTATAAATCAAACATGATTTTTCTTCTGTTTTTCAGGTGTTAATGGTCAGTCTTTGAGTTCCTCGGATTCTGTGGTGAAAAGACCAGGAGAATCAGTGACTCTGTCCTGTGGCGTCTCTGGATTCTCAATGAGCGACTACTGGATGCACTGGATCCGTCAGAAACCAGGGAGAGGACTGGAGTGGATCGGCCGTATTGACAGTGGCACTGGCACTGTTTTTGCTCAGTCTCTACAAGGCCAGTTCTCCATCACAAAAGACACCAGCAAAAAAATGCTGTATTTAGAGGTGAAAAGCCTGAAGACTGACGACACAGCTGTTTATTACTGTGCCAGAGATTCACAGTAACACAAACGTCTGCAGGGCTGAACAAAAACTATTGTCACTTTTGTAACAAACCATTTTGTTGATTTTAACTTTATTAAAATATTGATTTAAATCCTTTACTACCTCTTCATGGAGGTCTTTCTAAATTAACAACAATTATTACTGTATAAGCATACCGAATTCATGCACCAACAAAATCAACAACAAAACAAAAAACATTCACAAATTAAAACACAGCTGAGTTCTATGGCATTCCAATGTGTGATTTTTTTTTTTAATAACTGAAAGTTAAATATTACATCACATTATTGAATATCTTTAAATGCTGATCTTTCGAACAGGTTTTCAGACAGAAATCATACAACAAGTACTAAAAAAGCTTTAGGAAAAGCTATATCAACATTTGTGTAAAGAGTCATAATAATTAGCTACTATAGGCTACTATGTCTCTGAACTAGTAAATAAAAATATGTTGAAAGGCAGACATGGTTACAGAGGGTATTAAGGACACAGAAAATAGAAACATACCTTTAGAGGGCAGCCTATGCAAACTTGTCCTTCTCCCTTTTAAGCCCCCACTGTATTCATTAACAGACTATTCATCTACTCACTTGTGACTTTCCTGCATCAAGTTACTTATCACATAAAATGGTAATGGATGTCTAAACTGTGTTTTACCTTTGTGTTTGCTCTCACAAATCGCCTTTGATCTCATAGGTGTCTGAAGCCACTATTTGATCTGTTTGTATACATTCCACTGAACTCTACAACTTCGCTAGTCCTTTATTCACTTTCACATAAACATAACGCAACATCACATCTGTTTTTAATAGAACTCAGATGAGGTTGCATGCTAATGCCTGCTTGGAAAATAATCACATGTATTCTTGCTGCAGAAGGACATTGTTATATATCCATATCAAGATCTGGCACTATCATGAAATGAACCCCAATTGCCACAAGATGTAGTTTTTGCTAATTCTGGGCTTCTATGCAAATGATCTGATGTCCGTTACATATTTAAACAACTGCACTGTTGACAGGAGAACTCATCTGGTTCAGCCTTGATATAAATCATGTTCACTTTGTATATGTTGCTGTTGCTGGCCACAGTGTCTGGTAAGTATTATTCGCTGGACAACAACAACAACAAAACTCTTTTTGTATTGTAAATAAATACATGATCCTAATTATTTGTACATTTTTTTTGTTTATCCACAGGTATTGACTGTCAGGTTGTGCTCACACAGTCTGAACAGTCAGTAGTTGTGGCTCCAGGTGGTTCCCACAAACTGACCTGTGCATGTAGTGGATTCACTCTTAGTAGCACTAACATGTATTGGATCCGTCAGGCACCTGGAAAAGGACTGGAATGGATTATTTATTATTATTCAGATTCTGATAAGAGCTCAGCTCAGTCAGTCCAGGGCAGGTTCACAGCAACTAAGGACAGCTCTAATTTCTATCTGCACATGAATCAGCTGAAGACTGAAGACACTGCAGTGTATTACTGTGCAAGAGACACTGTGGAAACACTAATACAGGCAGCTGTTCAAAAACTCATGAGAAATCAGGTGGACATGGTTGAGTTACTCTGAAAAAAGTGGAAGAAACTCTGAAGTGAAATAATTCTGGTCTGAAGTGTTTTGAATATATTAAATACAAAAACAAGTTAATAGTAAAATTATTCCTTATTTTTAATCATAATGACATCTGTTTCCCACAGTATGTCTTAGTAAGTATAAGTATCTCTATTCAGCATACATTCCCTTATATTAATAATGGACTGGATGGTACATGTTCAAGTAGGCCTATACACCCACAAGCAGTGTGAGTTACTCGTGTATTGCAGTTTGGCTGGTGCTTATGTTGCCCGCCCGCATACCGCCTCCCATGGCCTAAACTGGTATTATGACACCTGCCGGGCTGGGGCTAGTAATTTAGCATGCTAATTCAGGTTAATATCTTTTTAATGACATCATCAACCTTATTTCTTCTCATTGTTTTGATGTGTGTAGCTCATTTTTTGGATATTTTAACCTCAATTCTTACACATGGCACCTTTAAACTGTAGTGTAAGTCTGCCAACCTCCAAAAATGCAAATTTTGTGGGAAGGGTCAATGTCTCCCAGACGCCTGAAATATTGTGTTATAAGCTGAACTTTCAGTCAGTGCATGTGTTCAGTGGCTAAAACAGCTGCAGTGTAACCTATAACTGTTTTACTGCCTTTTTCTGTTGTAATGGAGATGCTACTATACGGATTCCTACTGATGATTATCACATGTGAGAAACTCCCATCTGTAGTAGATTATTATTTCATTGTAATAAATCATCTAACATGATTTTTCTTCTGTTTTTCAGGTGTTAATGGTCAGTCTTTGAGCTCCTCGGATTCTGTGGTGAAAAGACCAGGAGAATCAGTGACTCTGTCCTGCGGTGTCTCTGGAATCTCAATGAGCGACTACTACATGCACTGGATCCGTCAGAAACCAGGGAGAGGACTGGAGTGGATCGGATATATAGACACTGGCTCAAGTGCATATTATGCTCAGTCTCTACAGGGCCAGTTCTCCATCACAAAAGACACCAGCAAAGAGATGCTGTATTTAGAGGTGAAAAGCCTGAAGACTGAAGACACAGCTGTTTATTACTGTGCCAGAGATTCACAGTAACACAAACGTCTGCAGGGCTGAACAAAAACTACTCATGTGATCTCTGAGGGCTCAAGGATGGTGAATCAAATTATGAAATATGTTGTAATATATGTTGTTCTCCAAAACATGTTGGCCACAATTATTGCCATAGAAATTCTCATGAGTATAATATCTCTGAAGTTTATTCTCATTAATATTGAAAAAAAAAAAAGTTTTTATCACAGCAGGGTGACTAGAAACATGAAATTGTCAGGAGAATAAATATGTGGAAATAGAAAGGCCAAATTCCCATAATCATCCATCACCAATAATGAGTGAAACCAAAGAATATAGTTCTGATAGATTCAGCTCCTCACCACATAATGTTTGGGAGGGTACATATCCTCACCACATATTGATCATCTAAAAACAAAATCCAGAATTTGCGGTTGTCAGACGCTACAGGAAGAAATAGGGCTGGCTTCTATAGTCAAATGAAGAAAAAAAAAAAAAAAAAATGACCACAGTTGAAAACTCTTGGATCTTTAATGATGTGGGCCTATTTTCTGCCAGAGGTCCTGAACATCTTGTTCAGATACATAGCAAATACCAAATAGATATAAATTTCAAGCCTCTGCTTGAATTCTTATAATGGGCCTGAAGTCTCACGGAAGGAGATGTGGATGAATAAAAGGAGGAGCAATGACAAGGCAAGACAAGAGAGGACCAGGCCTTGGACATATTATGTTTTGTTTCTGTGTGTGCGGCAGTTGACCGCATCGGGGCTGCCTCTTTACTTTTGTTTTGTGTTTTTTTTTAATTTTTTATTATTAAAGTGTTGTAATGTTTGCTGGTTCCTTCCTCCTTTCCCCCTCCGAGCATTTTCCGGTTACTACTTTTTTCTAATTTCTAAGAATTTTAATTTCTTGCTAGAATAACATCATTCTCAACTTAAAATGTAGTTGAGCTATAGCAGTCCACTGTGTGAGTTTTGAATGATTAACTTTATAAAAAGGTTTTCATAAAACAGTGCAAAATCAATAGTAGTAAATATAAGCTTTAGCTTTACATTCTTTTCTCCGAAAAAAAAAAAAATCATAATCGGTTACTATCTCTGTCTGAACGTGTAAATAAGAATAAACAAACAATATGTTGAAAGTCAGACATGGTTACAGAGGTTAATAAGGACACAGAAAATGTAAATGTACCTTTAGGGGGCAGCCTATGCAAAACTACTTCCACTTCTCCCTTTTACTGTAAAAGCCCCCGCTCTATTCATCTACAGACACAAAACTTGTTTATGACTTTCCTGCATCAAGTTCATAACATGGCAATGGACATTGTGTCTAAACTGTGTTTAATCTTCATGTTTGCTCTCACGGATTGTAAGAAAGGCTTTTGAAATCCTGTTGACATATTCATGTGTGCTGTTGTAAATGTTAATGTTGAACTGTTCATTTTTCAGTCTGTTGGTGTCAGACACTGACTGAGTCTGAGTCAGTGGTTATTAAACCTGGAGGATCTCACAGACTTATCTGTACGTGGTCTGGATTTAGTGGTGACCCGCACTTGGCTTGGATCAGACAGGCTGCAGGAGGAGGTCTGGAGTGGCTGGCATACATCTCATCTGGCAGTAGTTATATATACTACTCTCAGTCTGTTCAGGGACGGTTCACCATCTCCAGAGACAACAGCAAGAAACAGATGTATCTGCAGATGAATAATATCAAGAATGAAGACACTGCTGTATATTATTGTGCCAGAGAGTCACAGTGACAAATACAACTACAGTCCTGTACAAAAATCTGAAAACAACATAAACGTTATCATTGCTCCCTTCACGTGTGGTTGCAGAAAGGAGAGTTTAGGCAAAATCTAGATCCAGCAGTCAACTTAAATTAACAAATAATCAAAATCACAAACATTCAGGATAACAGGAAAATATAAAACGCAGGAGAGAAACAACCATTAACCAAAGACTGACTTACTAATAGACAAGATTTCTAGTGGTGTCCAAAACCATAGTGGACGTTATTGTAAGTGCACTCATTCAATCCCATAATGCATACAACATATGTTCGCTCCACGGCTCGAGAATACCCATAATGCACTGTGAGCATCACATCAAATTAATTCCCAATTCTGAACAAAAGATGTCATAGCTGATTCATCCATCGATCCATTTTCCAAACTGCTGGTCCAAAGTGGCTACAGAGTAATGTCATACAGGAATAAATTCCTTTTAATTGATTATTAAATTGTTAAATTAAGGTTTATACATGCTAGAGTTCATGGTGAATCTTTTCATTAATATTGGAGCTGCCACTTTACCAAGTTACAAAGGTACTGATTATACATTATAGAGACTACATAATACTAAATATTATAGATGTGCCTGGATAAATATTAAATAAGATTTCATGGACGCAAAGCCATTTTCCTCACTCTTCAGGAGATGAGTGATTCCTTTGCATGGAATCACGAGTCAAATCATGTCCTGCGGAACAAAATGTCTAACATGCTCCCTACAAAATAAATAAAATATAATTACCAAGCTTAGAGACAAATTTGCTATACGATAATACAGTATGTAGGCGGGATGAGGTTTAAACCTGCATCCAAATTTCTGAACAATTAGACTTGGAGTACAGGAGGATTCTTTCAGTGATTGCTTTCATTTTTTTCTTAATTTCTTTATTATTTTATATTTTTCGAAGTAATTGTGATGATATCCTTGTTTCTGGAATAGCAGGCGTGATTCCAACCAAAATAACATTGTATGCACTGACTTTCTTTGAATGGTAACAGCTACCAAAGCTCAAAACACCAATAATAAAAACATTCAAAATGTACTGCACCCACAAAAATAACAGCCTGCAATTTGAAAAGTATTATTACATACATATAAGATAAAATGTATGTCAACAAGTCTTTACTAAAAAAAATTCTGATTCAAAGAAAACAGTATGTATCAAATCAATTAGAAGTCATTCAAGAATATTTGAGTCAATCGATTGCAATATTATGATGTAATCATTAGCCTATTTTTACAAAAAATAATTCTACGGGGCAATAACGTGAGATAGTATGGAGCGTTTTATACATTGTCGCGTTTCTTTAGAATAATGGACAGATGTAGTCTTTGGATGCCACAGATGTCATGTTACTCGCTGTCAAAGTGACGCCAAAATGAATGGGATTGAATGGAATGCTAACAGCAGGTGATGGTCTGCTACAATGGCGCTGTGGTGAAGTGTGTTAGGTCCCACTGAAGTGTTGAGTCCCAGCTAAGGACCCCATTAGTATGCCAGTAGTATGCCTGATCTAAATGTTCATAGCAGAAAGGCCATGAAATTTAAAAATATTACTGTTTTTGTGTCACGAAATGTAATTTTAAGAGTTTTTCAGTTGAGAATGTAGTTGTTTAAAGCTCAAATCTGTGGTTTATTTATTTAAAAATTTGATCTGACGTTTTTGTGAGTTGTGAGACCTTAGCAATCACCGGGCGCTCAGCGCTCATCCAACCCGCCTGGAACAGCCTTAACTCGGCTTGTCATTTTGACGTTTGCCGCAGGCTCTGTGTCTCGTATAGTGGTTAAACATGAGATATAAATTGGCTTGTGTATATCTAATGCACAATCTTTGGTCTCATCTATAATTTGTTCCCTGGCAAATCGTTTTGGCTGAGGGCAAAGAGAAGTTTCTTAACTTTGTATATTTAGGCTATTTACCTTGTTGTAGCCTGTTGACTTATGTTTGACCGAATCTTTTAACTTGCTTTATTTCTTGACTTGTATAGTTTCTTATACCTTTAGGCTACTTATACTTTAATACTGTATTTTCTGAAGGACTTCAACCATATAAATGATCACTAAAATCATCAAATCCAAAAACCAAAAGGCTTGGACAGTGATACCTCTTCATGTAACCCCAATATTCTTGTTTGAGCATGTAAAGTGGATTAGTTACTCTGTATGTTTATGTAAATCATCAGTTGCATATATTTAAACACCAGGCATGAGTCAGTTTATACATTCATCTGATCACTAGAGGGAGGAAAGAACCGCTTCAGTCCATTCAAACTGTGAAACATCATGATCTCTTCATCTTTAGTGTTTCTGGCTGTAGTTTCCTGTAAGTTTAGTCTACTTTTCTGTGTGATGCATCTTTTTGCTGCAAAAAAGCTTGTTGTTAACAGCCTTTAAACTTCTTGCAATTTTACTAACGGGTATTATTTCATTTGATACAGGTATAGATTCATATGAACTCACTCAGCCTGAGTCTCTGACTGTCCGTCCTGATGCCACTCTCACTATCAGCTGTAAAGTCTCCTATTCAGTTACTAGTGGACATACAGCCTGGATTCGTCAGCCGGCCGGAAAAGCTCTGGAATGGATTGGGTATATCAGCTCTGGTGGAGGCTTAGCCTACAAGGATTCCCTGAAAAGCCAGTTCAGCATCACCAGAGACACCTCCAGTAACACAATAACCCTGCAGGGAAAGAATATGAAAGCTCAAGACACAGCTGTGTATTATTGTGCCAAATATACACACTGACAGACGCCAACAGCCTCCCTGTACAAAAACATCATCATCATCTTACAAATTAAGAATGTTATGAAGGTTTTCCACAACAGTCTGCTTTTCTCAGGAGCACAGTAGGTTTACAAAAGTTAAATCCAACATGACAATGACCTGAAGCACACAGCCAGGATAACTAAGGAGTGGCTCTGTAAGAAGCATATCAAGGTTTTGGTGTGGCCCATAGTCTCCAGACCTGAACTCAATAGAGAATATTTGGAGGGAGCTCAAACTCCGTGTTTCTCAGCGACAGCCCAGAAACCTGACTGATCTAGAGAAGATCTATGTGGAGGAGTGGGCCAAAATCCCTCCTGCAGTGTAAACCTGGTGAAAATCTAAAGGGGAAAAATGTTGATCTCTGTAATTGCAAACAAAGGCTGCTGTACCAAATATTAACATTGATTTTCTCAAGTGTTCAAATACTTATTTGCAGCTGTATCATACAAATAAATAGTTTAAAATTCATACATTGTGATTTCTGGATTTTTTATTTTTTTTTTAGATTATGTCTCTCAGTGGACATGCACCTACGATGACAATTTCAGACCCCTCCATGATTTCTAAGTGGGAGAACTTGCAAAATAGCAGGGCGTTCAAATACTTGTTTTCCTCACTGTATATAAAGATAATAAATTCTTTGTTTAAGAGGATAAGTCAGATCATTGGCAGAGGTATTTGTCCACACTAAACTACACATTGTCCTTTTAAGAAATATTTATAATATTAAGGCATTCCATGTACTGTATAATCCAGGAGTCCCCTAGAAATATAATGAATCGGAAAGGCCTTAGATATCAGCACAGAATAAAGACCAGAGTACAAAAAGGCCACATTTAGTAAAAGTATAAAAAAGCGTGTTCATATATCGTAAAATGTTTAGCAGAACTTATAAAAACATGGATCACTTTAAATAATAATAATAACTATTATTAAAACAATAGAGAAATATTTGGACACAAGAGAGAGTATATATAAAAAAAAGTCACATTTACTGATGCATTCCCCCTCAGGAAACACCTGTTTGGTTGTTGCCTCTAAGTAAATAAGTGCATTTGCATGTATAGTTTCATAAGACCTGTTTAAACTGTTTAAAAACTATAGTTTCATAAGACCTGTTTAAACTTAAAATGTATAACAAAGCATACATTTGGTTAAAGTCTAGTAACATTGCTCAAACCTAAATGGAAGACGTAATCAAGAAATAGTTATTTTATATTTGATATAATCTTCTCAGCAAATTATATCGAATGTAAAATAATTTTAGAGAAGATCATAGTTTATATATATAATCAAACTAAACTGATCGTGACATTTCAATAAAACTGCAGGATTAATTGGACCTCACCTGTATGTTTGCCTTCGATCCGCCTCTCCATCTCCCTCCACTGTATGAGGTTCTCTCTCTGAGGGGTTCTATTTAGGTTGTCTATAGGTTGATAAAAGCTGTATCCACTTTTACCTGTTCCACTGCTTTCTGACCTACAATCACAGAATTTCAGGGCTTGGAATTTTGACATTTAATGTTGTCAAAAGATAGTCAGAAGAAAATGAAATGCATGCCAAAATATTTAGAGACTGCTGAGAGAAGCCCATAAAACATTATAGAAGGCTCCAACACCCATAAAGACTAAGAACATGGTTAGAGATTGTCACAATCACAGCCACTGTGTTGGCCCTATGCTCGCCGTAGCATGCATATGTGCATGTTGTGTGTGCATGTGATCTTGCATGCAGTTCTCTTGTATTGTGCTAAATGTGTGATGTTCGTTTCCATTAAAGGGTTAGTTCACCCAAAAATGAAAATTCTGTCAGTATTTGCACCCTCATGTTGTTTCAAACCTCTATGTGTTTATTTGCTCTGCTGTACACAAAGGAAGATATTTGGAAGAATGTTTTAATCAAACAGATCTCATTCCCCATTGACTACCATAGTATCCATAGTATGTCTTCCAAATATCTTCCTTTGTGTTCAGCAGAACAAATAAACACATAGAGGTTTGGAACAACATGAGGGTGAGTAAATACTGACCGAATTTTCATTTTTGGGTAAAATAACCCTTTAACTCCCATTAACAAAGTTTTGTGGAACTTTGTAATCTACAAAGCCAGACACATGCAGGAGTTGTAACTCCTACTCCATCTGTGTTTTGATCATCGTTCTGACTCTGAGCAAGGCGTAGTCTTTGACAAAAATGTGATTTTCTTTTTTTGTTTAAAATGTTGCTTTTAAAAAAAGGATGCATTAAGCTAATAAAATGTTGTTTTTTTAAGTACAGTTAAAGGTATTTTTCAAGTATGCAAAAATATTTATACATTTGAACATAGTAGTACACTATTCAAATGCAAAAATAAAACAAATAGTAATAAGTAAAATGTTGTGTTGACTTAAAAAAAAAACTTTCTTCGTACTTACTAGGCCTACATAAAGTGTTTAAAAATCAGTGGTGGAATGTAACTGTCACGGTGTTGTGCGGGTTGAAGGAATCCAAGAGAAGGCTCCAATTCAAACATTTAATAATGAAACGCCAAGGAACTGGTACAGACAGGTAGCCGGGTAGAGACTCCACAAAACGACCAACATCCAATGACTAGGCAGTGTATATTGCCTAATTGCAAGCTTGTTTCAGTATAATTTCAGCACAACAATTTTCCATCATTATTAAACACCATCGGAGTATTAGGTTGAATGAGTTAGAATTAAATGTTTTATTAATCATTAGAAAATAGACATTAAGCGAATAAATAAGTACTTTTACTTTTAATACTTAAAGTACATTTAAAATCAGCTACTTTTTACTTAAGTATGGTTGTAATTGTGTTACTTCTAATTTTACTAAAGTAAATATTTATCTGGTTATTTGTACTTTTACTTAAGTACTGAGATTCAATACTTCCTCCACCACTGTTAAAAATATACTTGATCATTATAGTATACTCCATAAATTTAACTTGATGTATACTTCTTTTTCGTGAGGAAAATCATGATCTTCTCATCAGCTCTTCTACTGTTGGCAGCAGTGGCATCATGTGAGCTTCACTGATGATTTAAAGCACTAAATTAAAGTGTTGACAAACATTTTTTTGAGGCACAACAAAACACGATAATCCTTTTTATTACTTTTTATGGTGGTGTTTACTGTGTCGAGCTGACTCAACCTCCATCTTTGGTTCTGAACCTCAAGAGTCATTCTCCATCTGCAGGATTTCAGTATCAAGCTATTGCATTCACTGGATACGTCAACCAACTTCATTGGCTGGGTTATTGGAGTGGTGGTAGTATATTATTAAAGCAAGATCAACAATATTACAAATGTTATAATGTTACAAACAAGATCAGTTTCACGGAGGACACGCTTATATACATATATATATATATATATTACACATTTCTGTTTTTCTTAAACAAAGGTAACAAACAATGAAAGAACAGGGGAGGAGTCTATGCAAAACTGTGGTGCATATTTCTCATAAGAGACATTTTTTAAAAGTGGAGTGTGTTCACTGACTGTATGTGGTTCCTGTAGAGGAGAATAATCAGCAATGACAACAATAATCAATTCAATCTTGCTATTTCTTTTTTTACATGGTCTGTAACTCATTCATAAATTTTAAATTACGAATGCATATATAATTTAGCAAGTTTACATTTTGCTGTCTCTTAAGTTTTTGCTCTCTTCTTTCTCCCACAGATATCCATTGTCAGACCTTCACTCAGTCTCAGGCTGAGCTAAAAAGACCTGGTGAATCTTTTCGGCTGGTGTGTACCGCCTCTGGATTTACATTCAGCAGCTACGCGGCTGCTGTTGTGAGACAGGGTCAAGGTAAAGGTCTGGAGTGGATTGCATATATTGGCACATCCAGTTCTCCTATCTACTATTCCCAGTCAGTCCAGGGAAGGTTCACAGTGTCCAGAGATGACTCCAGCAGTCAACTGTACCTACAGATGAACAGCCTCAAGACTGAAGACACTGCTGTGTATTACTGTGCTAGAGCGTCACTGTGAATGAGTTCAGGGTCAAGGCAATACAAAAACCACTTTCTTTCCTGTTGACTTTAAGATCCAGATGTACTGTTGCATTTCCAAGCAGTGGCGCTCTTGTCAAGCAGTCTTGATTAACTGTTTTGAGCATAACTAAATTAACTTTTATTTTTTCTTTGCTTTCTTTCTGTATATGGATTTTTTGTGTGTAAAATCTACACCTAATGCATTGATCAAAGATGATAATTTACAGATTTGACAGATTACAGATTTACAAAAAAAAAGTCAAAGAAACAAAAAAAAAAATTCTTTCTTTCTTTTTTTTTTTTTTTTTACAAATAGAAGAATAGGGGAGAGCGGGGCACAACCATTTTGGTTTTGGCTCAATTAATTAAAAATAATTAAGTTAGATAAATACTTTTTTTTACACAACAAGCAACATACACATCTCTGCTACAAATGACCACTTAAAGTTTTTTTCTAGGACCTAACATTTTCGTACAGTTGGATTGAAAGTGACAGAAGTGCAAATGTTACAACTTACCCCAGTGGGGTTAATTGTAACAGACAGAGGGGTTAGTTGTAACACTTGTGTGTAACACACACAATTCAGTACTATTTTATTTATATAGTTTGACATTTTTTGTACATCTGTATAGACAGATATCCATACATCCATCCCTCATCCAATCATCCTTCTATTATGGATCAATTTCATGGATAGAGACGTAGAAAAGGGCTGCATTTTGCAATAAATAATAATAAATAAAATTATAAATATTGTAATTGCAATTAAATTAGAGTTGTGTATGGCAGCTGTATTTACAATTATTAATATTACTATTAATAATAATAACAGTAATAATAATACAAATGATATAAAAATGTATTGCATTACCTGTAAACATTGACAATGTGAAATTTATCATTTGCAATGTATACGGATATAACAACAACTCTTTAAATTCATGTATGTTTAAAAC